TATTCCTCACTTCTCTCTCTTCCTCTCTACCCCTCCTCTACCTGGAATAAACTATGGTTAAAAAAAAAAGAGAGAGAGAGAGAAAGAAAGAAAGAAAGAAAGAAAGAAAGAAAGAAAGAAAGAAAAGAAAGAGAAAAAATGTCATCATTTGCGGAAGAAGTTAACCAAAACTAAGTGACCTGCACTAGCAGTTTGGTCTGATCAGGAAGATAATCTAACAGGTTCCACTGAGTCAAGGACTGGATTAGTGGAGAATGCCTGGCTGTCTCTAGAGCTTTTACAGTGAAGCAGGTGACATATGTGGCTACAGTTAGAATGTCAGACACCTTTCATAAGTCCATGTGTCCCCTTGTTCTCATGCAGAAAAGCTCTAGCATATTTTTAATGAGATTTCTAGTTGATGGTCTCCATGAAATAAGCCAAACAAATAACAGGACCTGAAAAAGGCTGAAGGGTCCAGACAATGGCAGAAAATAGTCACTAGGAACTCAGGAGTTCACAGCACTCCGTTGGGAAACTTATTCTCTCACCTGGCTGCTTCCTAAAGTGTGAAATGCATGGCTAACTACACAGTAGACAGCCAAAAGCATCTAAAAGCAGTGCCCTTGAAAGAGTAATACTAGCTTAGCAAAGAGAGCAGTGACAAAATGCTCGGGCTCTAACCAGAGAACAGGGCCAGGCCAGCCTTCTCCTACAATTAGCAGACTCCCCTCACAAACAGCCTCCTCACCAAGACACCAGGAGAGCAAGCTAGCCAAAGTGAGTGGACAACTGAAGGAGCAGAAGAGAGAAACAAGAAAAAATAAAAATACATATATTAAATAGCTACCTGATGAATATTTTTAAACAAGCCATGGCTCAGTGGTAGAGCACTGGACTACCATGCAGGAGTTCTCAAGTTCCATCCCAGCACCACAAAAACCAACTGACCAACTGAACCCTGAAACCCTGTGTACAGAAACACCTCTGCCCTGGGCAAGGTTGAATGGAACACACAAGAGCTGTAACTTGTCTGTTTCCAACTGTGATCCAATGACACAAAAGGCCTGGTACACAGTAGGCCACAATGTAGTTATTTGATGTCCTGGTCCATTTTTTGTCAATTTGTCACAAGCTGGAGTTATCTGGGAAGAGGAACTTCAAATTACAAAATGCCTCCATCAGATTGGCTTGCAGGCAATTTTGTGGGACATTTTTTTTTATTAGTTCAAATTAGGAACAAGCTTGCTTCAGATGTCAATCCCTTCTCCCTCTCCCTCCCCTCCCCCCAACATCCCACCTGCCCCTAGCCATCCCCCCTCCACTCCCCAGGCAGGGTAAGGCCCTCAAAAGGGGCTCCCCAAAGTCTACCACATCATCCTGGGCCAGGCCTAGGCCCTTCTTGTGGGACATTTTCTACATTAACTGTTGATATGGGCAGTGTCACCCCTAGGTAGCTGGTCCTGGGAGATACAGGAGAGGTAACTGACCATGAACCTGAGAGCAAGGCAGAAAGCAGCATTCCTCCATGGTCTCTGCTTCAGTTCCTACCTCCACATCCCTGTCTTAAGTTCCTGCCCTCGACTTCCCTTCATAATAGACCTGTGAGGTGAAATAAACCCTTCCTTCCCCAAGTTGCTTTTGGTCATGGTGTTTATCACAGCAATAGAAAAAGCAAGCTAAGCTGGGCAGCGGTGGTGCACGCCTTTATTCCCAGCACTCAGGAGGCAGTGGCAAGTGGATCTCTGAGCTCAAGGCCAGGGTTACATAGAGAAACTGTTTGGAGGGGAGGGAGAGCTAAGACATTTGTCAACTGAATGATGAAAGATTGCACCAAGAAAATAGGTTACCAAGATTTATCTCAAGGAAGAAAGGAAGGAAGGAAGGAAGGAAGGAAGGAAGGAAGGAAGGAAGGAAGGAAGGAAGAAAGAAAGGTCTGGAGAGATGGCTCAGGGATTACTAATACTAGCTGCTCTTGCGGAGAACCCAGGTTCAATTCCTAGCATCCACATGGAGGCTCACAACTATCTGTAATTCCAGTTCCAAGGTATCTGCACCCTCTTCTGGCCTCCATGAGCACTGGTACACATATAATGCCTAGGCATATATGCAGGCAAGACACTGATACACAATGAGTTCCAGGACAGCCAGGGCCACATTTCAAAAAGGAGAGGGAGGGAGGGAGGGAGGGAGGGAGGGAGGGAGAGAGGGAGGGAGAGAGGGGAGAGAGAGAGAGAAATAAGAAGCCTGAACAGCTATTACAAGGAACTACACCATCAACTACACCATGATGGAGTGAGAGGATAGGGGTGGGCGGGTAACACCATGCTGCCCTTACTGTCCCACAGCCCGAAGCATGGGAACTCCCAGGTCCTATGAAGCCACCCTACCAGCTAAACAAAGCTCAGCCACCAAACCCACAAGCTGACAACAAGAAACTTTTGGAGAACTTTCACTAAGTAAGCAGGATCTAGCATGGGAACCCCTTCCCTGCTCATGAAGAGAATCTAGTACCTTTATCAATTGGCCCTTGACCATCCGTAACTCCAACTCTAAGGAATCTAATGCCCTCTTTCTGATGTCCCTAGCCACCATGGACACATGCGGGGCACATACATGCATGCAGGGAAAATACTCATATGCCCAAAGTAAAAATAAACAAATCTTAAAAACAAAAACAAAAACAAAAAACCTCTAAAGACACACATCTATGGACGCTCCCAAGTACAAGGCTTCCTCAGGAAGCAGCAGGCTGACTCTAGCACAGGCCCAGTAGCCTTCCCTGACTCCTGCCAACAGTGCTAACCACTCATCTCCTCCCTAGCACGAGATTGCTGCGCCCTGGCCTTGTGATTTGATGTGTATCGCTGTGTGCAGATTTTAAGCCAACCTCCCTGTCCTCTTCCACTATACCTTTGATCGTACATCAGGTATCCCTCAGCTTAGAGGCTGTTAGTAGTACACGGAACGACCTGAACACAGTTCGTCGAACATGTGTATGCTCTGTCTCAATTACATGAGGCTTGCCTGAGAACTTGGAGCCCAGAGGCTGGGGCTATGCATCTCATTTATAAACCATCCCAATCTATAGACAAGATTCCCCTGAGACAAACTGGGAGACGAAAACCCCATTCCACTACTCACTCGATCAGTAAGTAACCTAAACTGCACACATCACGAATAAGATTAAAGTGGGAGGCGGAGCAAACAAGTAGAATTCAACAGCTATTGAGGAGGTAAAAGTTCACAAGAAAAAAAAAGAAGGAGAGGTATATTCCCAACCCGAGTGCGCAAAATGCTTTATAACACCCACGCAGAACTTTTTCCCCCTGGAGCCCCTCTCTGTCGGACTCGTATTGTGCAGTATCCAGCACACACATCTGTGCTCAATAATTGCTCCTCAAGGTGACAGTAGTGAGGGTGTGATTAAGACACCTGCGGGGCCGAGCGCTCACCCTCTGCTGTCCACACCGTCCATGCCTCACTCGGCTATACTCCGAGCGGGTCACTTCTCCCCAAACCACGCCCGCGATGCCCAGAATCCTCGAAATCAGGATGAGCACGCTCGCCCTCGGGTCAGGCCCCGGTCAGGTACTGACCGCCGGCATCCTCCATGCCCACCTGGAACTCCAGGCCATAGATCACCGGCGCGTCGTCCTCCATGACGCTCTGCTCGCCCCGCCGCTCACGCCTCAATGCCCGAGTCCAGCCTCACCAGCAATCGGCCAAAACCCATTCATTCCCTGCCCGGGGGGAAAAAAAAAATGGACCACACGCTCAGGGCCGGCTTATTGACGGCCAACTTCCTGTTTTCTTCGTGACGTCATCAGTACGCTCCTCCCTGATAACCAATAGCAGCCGTGCTTTTCTTCTACACATGCTCATTTGGATTCTCATGTGGGCTGGGAGCCGCGGGGGCTGCTGGGTTGGAGGGCGGGGCCAGGAGCAAATGCCGCGGGAATGGGCGGCCACCAGGGCGGCGCTCTAGCTCCAGGAGCTGCTCTCTGTTCTTCCATCCCCTGCACGATAAAGAGAGCAGCTAAATTGGCACCAGGGCACTGCCAGGACCTCAGGAGCAGACCCTTTTTCTTTATTTTATGTTATTTTTTTGCATTCTAATCCCAGTTCCCCCTTCGTCCTCTCTTGCCGCTCCCCCTACCTTCCCCTCATCTCAGCTCCCCCGCATCTGCAGGAGCCGGCTCTTAAATGTTCATTTAAACACGAGATGCTGCAAGTTTGAGTCAAGCCCGCAGTGGTGTAGGTGAGCAGTGAGGTGCAACGATGGACATTTCCCGTGGTCTATACTGTCCAGAGCCCCCAGAGATGGAGGGCTCTTATGTCCTGGCATGGAAAGTGCTGGAAGATAAGAATGCATCACGGGGGACTCACTGGCCTGGTTCTGTGGAGTTCTGGATCTACACACATTTCCTCTGTGTTTGTGACTTTTCCCACTACCTCGGACCGGCCTTCGTGACAGCAGTTTATGAAACACTACCATTAGCTCCCTTAGTAGCCATCCATTGCCCACTTCTGTGCCTAACACTGTGACTTTCTGGTGAGATCTCTGGCCACTAGCTTCCACCAATCCAAACGCTAACAGTGTCATCAGACAGTACCTGAGGCCTGTAGCAGAGGGATCCCTGCTTTGCTGTAACCAACCTACCCAATGCTTCCTAAGTGTGCTCGAGAAGTGTATAGATTTACTTCTTGTTCTTACTGTAAAGTAAGAACTGTAATGTAAGAACTTACTGTAAAGTTGTTACCATGTCGGGCAGCAGAATTTAACTAAGGTGACCTGAATCTGTGTTCCCAAGCTATAGCCACTCATCGTTGGCTGCAGAATAAACCCGTAGCCCCTTGGAGATGACAGATGTGCTTTTACACTGTCACAGCCTTTTCTGAGTTGTCACTAGGAAGCAACAAACAAGGGTCCTTGACTTGAGACCCATACTGAACGGTCCCGCCCACCGGTCCTAAACCGGAAATGTTCCTGGTTTCCGGCTTCTAGTGGGAGCTCCCGAACTGAGCATATGCGGAAGTCGGGCTTTACTAGCCGGCACGCGCAGGCGCATAAGCGCTTGGGAACTCTGATCTGGAGTCGGCTTCCTGTCTTCAGTCAACTCTTCGGACCCTCTTCACCCGTGGGGGGCCCGCCCCCGGGGGCGGGTAGCAGGTGAGGAGTGGGCTGCAGTCAGGAGGGA